AAAACGCATTTTGATTAGAAAAAATCGTATATTCTATCTGATACCTATAGAATTCAACCCCTTGCTAGATAAGCGGTTGATGATGAAACAGTTAATGAAGCAGTTGATATAGGATATGACAGAAGTGACTTAATTTTGTTAGGGGTTTACATAGTTATACATAGGTACCTGCTGTTTTACCACTATCATATGCCGTTTAGAACAGAAGCGGTATATAAATTAGGAGGCGGTGGGGAGGCGGTGAGGAGAGCGGTAGACAGAAGCAAGTATTGAGGAAGGCAACTAAATTTGGAAGGCGGTACTGAAATTTCAGGCAGGGGAGGGGGGTGTCCGCTAACGTACTTCACAAGCGAGTGACGCAGTCAGAAACACATAGTAAATGGGATAAATTACAACTTGATACCCTAACAACGGTGGTCTATTGGGGGGTTTCCATACAGGCTAATGGTTTTCAGGTAGCATCTAGCCTCACTATAAAGTTTAGAGAATTTTTTACTGATCAGTGATGAGGATATATATATTTCTAGCTTGGAGCGATGTAAATTTCGATACTATGATATTACAACCCATTGAATGCCTAAAAATTGCTATATATCATTTTAAATTCTTATCAACAGCTATCGAATAGATATGAAATCAAACAAGGACGTTGTTGTTGATATATAAGGTTGTAGTTTATGCTATTTACTACGTGTTTCTGACTGCGTCACTCGCTTGTGTACGTCACTCGCTTGTGAAATACGTGAACGTATTCGGCAAGCGAGTGGCCATTGTAAGCGAGTGGCCACCCCAACCAAACCTACTAATTTCAAATGCATACAAATCAACCAAAACTCCATTAAATTAAATATACTAAAATGATCTATTCTCTGGACATGCATTTCTTTTATGACCTTTGGTTTTTGCATAACCCGCATGTTGGTAATGCTCTCATTCGGGGCTGTAAAGGTGGTGAAGGCCTTCTTCGCCGGGGGGGGGGGGGGTGATTAGGTGCTTCAATTGCTTCCACCGTCTCAGTAATTAATGCAGATGCTTCTTGAACCGAGAGGCCTTCTTCGGCAGGTATCTGCCTCCGGGATCTAGTGCGCTTTTGCTTCTACTTCTCGTTGGCGGCGCGTAAATCCTTATTTTCTTTAGCGAGTAAGATAGCACCTTGCATTGTAAGACGGAAGCCTTTTACAAGCTGGTTTAATGCACGATCTGATGGGCTAGGCGGGCTTCGAGATATTGTACGAAGTAAAGCTTTGATTGATGAAGTCTGACGACGTAGTTCTTTCCCTGTAAAGTTCGGTGCATGCGAACTATGACGAATATGGCCATTTACTGTGAAGAGCTGATGTTAGGAACGGCCATCTTGTTCCCATCCAATGTTTATCGGAGAGATGGAAAGACTACGCTCGTCTGCCTTGAGGCTCTTCTCTGCTGTCGGTGCTGTCTATGTCCGCAGAGTTGGAGCAGTTCTTTTGTGTTACTGGACAGATGAGTTCACCGATACGGACGCAATTGGAAGTTACCATGATAAGTACCATGATAAGTATAATACAGCAGCTAAGGCCGGATGTGTGAAACGGCCTAATCGAGGTAATGGATTGAATGCTCGATGTGTCAGGAGGTTAAAGCAAGATGCCGGGGAATGGACCACGAGTGTTACGATCTGAAGGATCATTGGTTCCTTCTTGGCCGAGGAGAAAATATTCCTTCTCGTTATGTGAAAGAGCTAAGCGAGCGCATTGGGATTTGCATAGTTCGTAGGATGATGTCTAAAGCCACCGGCCACCAACGATGTTGACACCCAGGGCATCATCTAGCGTGCGAGACGGTTCGATTAGGATGTTCTCTGCACCTTCGGTATTATTCCCAAGCCATATCTCATCAATGCCGGTACGGAGGCACGTATCGCTCGGCTTGCCTAGTGAACTGTGACCTCATCAAACTCACCTTTGGATTTTTCATCCTGAAAAAAACCAGCCCGACGAAGCTGAAGACAGGAATAACCACAGAACAGCGACGCAAGATATGACTAGCGTATTTTTCAACCGAGGTTTGGAAGAAGCAGGGCTGGATCCTTCACGCGTTGGGGTCGACAAGCTGCGATGTTTTCTGGAAGAAATCCTAGACACTCATATCCAGCGCGAGCTACCCAAGGTTCGTGATGATATCCGGCGTCTTTTCTGAGAGAAAAACGAAGAGCTCGGTAGACTTAGAGCGGAACGGAATTCTCCAAACCAGATACGTATGTACCTGATAAAGATCGCCACAAATTACTACAATGTCTTTCAAGCTGGCATTGATGTATCATACAGCAGCCGTGATGCAAGCTTCTTTGAAATCAGAGATGAGCGGCTCTCGGCTTGACTATGTGCTATTATTCATATGGAGAATGAAAGGTTCTCCGACGATATTCGACAAGATGGTGAAAATCGAAAAATCGTCTCATCGACTACACACTGCGATTGGGGCAGTAACAGCAGCTAAATGGGTCCGAAGATCTGCGATGCGCTCAGGCTCTGCAAAGCAATGTTTTGTTGGAGAGAGAATCACAACATAATAAGTATGGCGTGAAAAATAACTCTAATAATAAACTTCTAGGGTCTTTTTTGGTTGCGGATTTATTGGCGATGCTGATGAATTTGGTCAAACTAACCGTGCAAGATGGAGCTGAAACCTATGGGGTAGACGGGGCGATATCATTCGATTCTGATTTGACTTTACCATAGCTTGTTTTTCTCAGCTCCCACAAAACCCACCACTGCTTTGGAACCACCATGTCCCGCTATAGTGTATATTGGGCCTCGAAATTGCAAGTATGAGATATATGTTTGATGGGGGTAGTATGAAAAACTTTACGGTGGAACTGTAGGTATATGGAAATAAGTAATAGAGGGATATGTAAATCTCGGAATACTCGATCTGAGTTGTTCTAGGACTACTCCGTAAAGCTAGGAGCAAAAAGGAGGCCACATGACCTAATCTTTTAATAGGAAGCACACCTCTTTCAGGTCTTGATAAGCCTGTTTACATCAACCATATGCTTGTAACTTGTCCGAAACATATTCAAACAGTGGTCGACACGGACATATATACGCTCAACCAGGTGGAGCAGTTTGCTTTATCGGATGGTATCAAACAGGTATATGAGTCCAAATAGCAGAAAAAGGGCCGCGCCGCCCAACGTCACTGTAAACGTTAGTTTCGATCCAGGATTTCGCAACATGGCAGCCACTTACCAACTCGCATGCTAACTCGACCAGCAATGGCTCGGCCACCAATTACAGCGATTCCGGTACAGAGCGCATGCCCAGAAACAGCTCCAAGAATCACTAGCCAATAATCTGGACCAGTTGCCATTACCACGGTGGAAAGTTGACTGCGGTCACCCCACTCCGCGAAAAAGGTCATAGCGAATATTTGCACAAATAGAGGGCTGAGAAAAAGGGAGAATAGGTTGCTCATTCCTGCCATGAGAGATTGCCAATGGCACCGAACAGAACCAGGAAACTGGTGGCTTGCAGACAAATTTCTACCTAGCGAAGCAGGTGACTGATCCGCTGGGCAATCTTGTCTATCATGACCAGCTTCCACATCGAAAATTTCACCATGTGTATCTTGGTCGCCGTCACGTACTCGCTCATGGTCCTTTTCCTTCAATTCCGTTTCAACTTCCGAAATCTCACTGCTGAGGCCTTCATTTGGAGCCATTTCATAGCCCTCTTTAAGCATCTTCAAGCCGAAAGCGAAGAATAGTACGGCCGCCAACATTTTTGTGTATGTATCGGGAAGCAATGTCGGAACACTGCGGCCGAGAAGGGCCGAAAGCAGAGTCATTGCAACCAAGGCAGAGAGAGCAGCACTGTATACAAACAAAGGTGAGCATCTCATCGCCATTAGTGCAGCAATAATGAAAGTCTTGTCACCAATCTCAGAGACAATGATCATGGCGAATGAATAAATGATTGAGTGGAGTGAACTGTCAACGGAAGGAACGGATGTATCTTCTTTAGAGGGAAATGGCGAGCTCATATCATTGAGTCCATGCTCAGTAGCGGGAAGGCTCTTCTTCGCGAATGTTGGGAATTTGAGTTCCGTACCCTCCGCCAGTTTGCCATTAGAACCCTACCGATTGATTAGCAAGGTCTCCTGCAGCCACTTTCAGACCCCACAGAGGTTCTCCTACCTGTGAAGTAGTAACACCTGTCTCTGTATCGTCATTTTCGGCTCGCGTTGATGAAAACGGCTCCTGAGGCCTGCTAGGTTGATTCATCTCCATAGATTGGCTTTTCCTGGTTTCGATCGATCCCTGGAAGCATATTTTTTCGTCATGTTTTTCTTTGCGCAAGACTTCGAACCTGACCGGATGGGGAAGAAAGCCGAAATGTTTTGGCAATGGGTGACAGTCTCTGGGTACATTCGATGTCGCGCTGCATAAAACAGGCATAATGGCAGATAAGAGAGTCAGCAAGAAGATTGCTGGAAAGTATGCCATGATAATCAACTGCTAGAGAGAAATGCTTGGTTTCCTTTGTAATGTCACAGATTATAGCAAACAGGGAAGTATCACCAGAAAAACTAGCTTGTTGTTGTACCAGCAAATTTAGTGCCGGGTTTGACCGAAGACGAACGAGAAACTGATCGTTTCGCCCTTGATTGCTCCGGATTTCGGAAATAGCATGCGAAGACCCATAGCACTCAGGGTTCAAAATCCCTAAAAGGGGTTTTGATGTTTGAATGCCTTATTTTAGAACGGCAGAAACATTGAAAACCTGAATTACCATAACAGAGCTCTTCGAGGTCGACAACAGGAATGCCTTAGAAAATGGGCATGAAATGTGACACAAATCCTAGGATTCCCTTATTTCTCAGCATTGAAGCCTTCTGGGATGAAAAGCTTCATATTTTGAACTTGTAAACCCTCCAGAAATATGGAGATGCCGACATTTGTGCGGGCCCAAAGGCTTTATCTTTTTGGACTTGTAATTAAAATTTACAATACATTGTATAGCGCGTTGCTAATTCAGGCAGTCAGGCCCTAAAGGGGGTTTTTGGACCCTGCGCGCTATGGGTCTTCGTAATGCGTGGCATACGAGGCCGCGTCAGCATGTGTCGCGTCCATACTATTACCGTAGGGAACCAATGGGATACATTTCCGCCGCCCCATAGCTCTATCGAATTCTCGATTTTATTTGAATATGACCCGTTTGGTGGAGTTGTGGATGTGTAGCATCCGAGAAGTATGAAGCATCGTTTCCGAAAACTCGTAACTCTGGGTTTTCTAGCTTGTTCTTTGAACAATTGAAGAATTGAAAGGATAAATACCATCGCCTCGAAAAGAGGGTTTGAAAGCTTGTTTTCGAATTTGGATCCCGAAGATGTGGCCGAAGGCTCGAAACTGTCGCGATAGAGAGATTTGTCCTTCGGAAGAACGAACCCGTCCGCGGTGATACGCTCGATTTCGGTGATTAATTCGCGTGTACCCTCGCATGGAAGATATGCTGAGCGGCTATGGCCGTCACTAACACCTTTCGGAGGTTTTCCTTGGTCGATTTATAGACCAGTTTCATGGAAGTTGTAGATATGGACGGGGACGTCTTGAATGATTGACTCGAGAAGGTCGAACCAATAGATCCCTTGGAAGTTGTCGAAGAAACTCGTAAACCAAATTCTTATGTAGTGGAGTAGCACGTCTTCGATATCGAAACCTCGAAGACTAATTGAATTTGCTGTGATTGATTCTATTCCTAGGCACACGCAAGGGTCAAGATCGTATGTGAGAGCATGCATGTGAATAACTATGTATTTCATGTTTCATGGAGAGGTCCATCCCCCCGCAACATCCACCCATTCGGCAAAACAGGAACCCTCTTTATCTTCGGCATCGACGACATCAGTGTCACACCTGCAGCGACAGCCAACGCCGTTCTCCCGGACCGAGTCAAAATTAGCCCAGTATTCGTCTTCCTCCAAACGCTCCTTTTCATCTTCTATGGTTTGGTCAAGAAAAGGAGCGCGAGGCAATTGTCGAGCTGGCGCATTAGCAGGGCAGTGTTGAATAGTGGTGTGACGGTACCCAATATCACGGAAGTAGTGAACATCATCAGGTGAAAGAAGAATACCGGCGGCGAGTGAGTGAATGGGCGCGTCACCCCACTACAAACTCGGTTAATGATAAGCATGCGTCCATTTGGAAGGGGGGATGTTTTACTGACTCGCTCCATCCAAAATCCACCGCTTCTCTCCATCATTTCGAAAAATTCTTGACATTCCTTGCTCTGATACCAATCCAGGCGTGCGATTTCAAAGTTGCTCCAAAAGTGACACAAGTTGTAGGACTCTCCCTCCATGGCATCCGGACAGATTTCATCCGAATGAACATGATCGGAATCCAACATAGTGATATCCTCAGGAAGACTATTCCATTTCTCGTCCTCCGAGGAAGGCAATTTTATTCCTGACGGTCGATTTAAAAACATCTCCCAGAGACCCTTGGACTTGATACCTTTCGTGCGTTTGTATGCCGATGCATATCGGAAGAGGTTCGGAACTGTCTCTTGGAGCTCTTTGATGGCGATAGTGAACCCGTAGGTCTTATTTGCCTCGGCCATTTTGACAAAGGGGTCACTATTTGCGCTTGTTAATTAAATTCAGAAAAAAAAAGGAAGATCAAACCGCACTATGTGATGTCACAAAAGTACTTAATCTCGGGCTCCAAGCGCCAGTACCATTCATATTTCAACAGCAGCGGATGTTTGTAAAATTGCCTGTTGAAAGTTCAGCATTTTATTAATGTGCACTTCGAGAAGACAAACCCGGAGTAAAATCTACACATATGATGGTGTTGTGATATGAGGCTGGTGCAGATCAGGAACCAAGCCGCACCGTCGGAATTAGCTCCGAAGTGTCTATACAGACGACCAAGTTGATTGGAAATCAACTTGGCTCATTGTTGTATATATAGGCTCATGTATCCCTCTGAAATAACAACTCAATTCATACCTCTGAACTACAACAGATGGTAGCTTTCCATTCCACCATACATTATGTCAGCATCACCTTGTTTTTGAATGCCCTCCCTGGCAATCTCGGGATCGACCCAATCTGGAAAGTCCCAGAGAGTGCTTTCGACTTTACCAAACTCCACAGGAGCGCTGACATGTCTCTTGATCTTTGCTTTGAATTCCTCGTCGAAGTCGGCGTCGTTCAGAAAGACATATGGGTAGTGAAACCACTGGTTGAAATGTCTCTCAATAGACCTGATAGATTGTAATATTCCATCTAATTCCTGGTTTCTCACGAGGACAACGAAAGCAGCGTTCATACGAGCAGATCTCTGAATCTCATAAGTAACGGATAGGCAACCCGTAGCGAACACCTTGTCGTGCTTATCACTGATAATTCTATATTGAAGTTATTTGGGTTAATTGGCTGCGCATGACTTTGAACGTTGACCTTACTTTATAGTGGGCGGAGTGTCCGCTGGAAGAAACAGATTCGAAGGCAAGCCATTCCAGAAAAGTCTGGGCAGGAAAAATGCGGTTGCGATTAATGTAAGTATCAGGGCAATTATCAGTGGACAAGATCTGTGTTGCACTCGTTTTCCTGGCCGACGCAATGAACTGTGGGGAATCATCCGATCTTTGTTTCCCACGGAACTCCAATGACTTGAGCCCGTCGCGGTGAACCGATGTTCCATAAGGATCCCACGAGGTCGAACGTCGTTGGCCTGCTGGGTGACGAGCTCTCGTGTAAAGAAGGAGGCGTGAGTGAAACCAAATATGTGTCGAGGATATTCAGTATTGAATGGACTTCAGAAAATACAAGGCGAGACGGATCTTCCTAGGAAAATCGTTCAAGACTGAAATGAGGCAGAGATTATACTCAAATACCGACATATCAGGACTGTCAAGACTTTTCCGGAATATGGAATGCGTGTGAAACACCCGGTGATCGGAATTAGCGAACTTGATCTGCAGGGCCTCCTTCGATTGTGGATAGACGGCATTTTCCATGGTATCCATCCATGGAATATTCCCATAGCCGTAGGTGGACGGCACACACCAAATTCCCATGGAAGTCCAAAAGGACTGTAAATAATGCAAACATCATTAAGCCCGTGGCTAAGAGCCCTACTGCTCTTGCTACTCGCACTTTTGATGTGCCGTGTTCAACTCTCGCCGCCTAAGCGGTGTTCATGATCGCGCAGTTTCTCGGCGAAAAGGTCCTCGCTGCCAAGAAATCGGGCCGGAGTCCACCGAATGCCAAGCATTCGAATCGATGGTGCCTAATGGATTATTTTCTTATTTAAGCGCATAGATGCTCCCCTGTTCCTTTTCTCTGAACCTCTAGATAAGCTGATACACTGAGCACCTTTGCATCATGAATTGCCCCTCCCGGACCGATGATACTCTCCTCCATGATGAGTGGAATCAGAACCCGCCGCGTTTCGCTCCTGATTTGACGACCCGTCAAGATCTTCTTGGCATTTCCAACACCCGTGAGAACAAGGGCGATAAAAATGGACTAGCGTTACTGCAGAACCATTCAAACTGGGCTCATGCTCACTGGCCCAGAATATCAGATCTGGGGAAACGTCTCCATGGGGTAGGCGAGGCGTCCATTGGTATGGATGTCATACTCAGCCCCTGATGCTTGTATCGCTGATCAAATAAATAGGACCCCTCGCTCCCCAAAAAAATCTTAGCATTCGTCACGGAGAACTAGATCTCAACAAGACCCCCTTGTCGTATCAAAAATTCAAAGACTGGGCGCTTTGGCTGCTCTCGGTCCTTTTTATTTCTGCCTTGATTTCCCACAACAGCTTAGGCAATTGTTTTATCCCAAAGGCACCTCTAGCTCTCGAAACAACTTTCCTTGCTGAACAGCAAGACTCACAGCCAGCCAAACGATCAAGTTGTGCCGTAGGTGGTGTCCGCGAAGCTGCATACGATCTTCCACTACATGTCGCAGCGCTGTTCATTATCCTCGGAACATCGACTATTGCATGTGCATTCCCAATTCTCGCAACTCGGTTCCCTCGACTGCACATTCCGCCTTCATTTCTCTTTTTCGTCAGTCATTTTGGAACTGGCGTTTTGATCGCCACTGCATTCGTACATCTGCTTCCAACTGCGTTTCAATCGTTAGGTGACCCATGTCTTTCCAGCTTCTGGACAAATGACTACCCAGCCATGCCAGGTGCTATTGCACTAGCAGGTGTTTTCTTTATCACGGTCATTGAGATGGTATTTAGTCCAGCTCAGAGTATTTGCCGTGGCGGAAATCATGACTTATCACAGAAGCGATCCTCTTCCGGTCCCGAGAGAGATACGCTAGCACAACTTGATGATTATACCTCGGCTGAACCTCGAGCGCAAAGCTCACATTCCGTTACACTAGATTATCAACCCCATGTACGTGATATGGGTCCTCTGGTCGGAAGATCCTCAAGTATAAGCCGAGTTATTCACCACATGAGCGATGAAAGTGAAACAGTTGTTAGAGTCTTATCTACTCCTGAGACTCAAACTCATCACGAGAAAGAAAATGGAGTATTCCGGTCGGATATAGAGCGAGATAATGATCATCATATTCTTACACCGGAGCAGAACCAAAGGAAAGAGACCATGCAGGTTTACCTTCTTGAAATGGGTATTCTCTTTCATAGTATCTTTATTGGCATGTCGCTCAGTGTGTCAATTGGGAGTGAATTTGTGATTCTATTGATCGCAATTGTATTCCATCGTGAGTTATTTGATCTTTCTACCTCTTTGTGAATGAAATAAGTAATAGTCAATAGAAACCTTCGAAGGTCTCGCATTGGGATCCCGAATTGCTTCGCTTTCCTGGTCTGAAAAGCAATTACAGCCCTGGTTTATGTCACTTGCCTATGGCTGCACGTATGTTTCTTTTATTCACGTATGGTCATTCAAAAATTGAAGAACTGACGGATATATAGAACGCCTATTGGACAAGCGATCGGGCTTGCAACCCACACACTCTATAGCCCGGACTCGGAAGTCGGCTTGCTCGTTGTTGGCATTATGAATGCCATTTCCGCTGGACTTTTGATCTTCGCCTCTCTCGTAGAGCTGATGTCGGAAGACTTTCTTAGTGACGAGAGCTGGCGCATCCTTCGTGGGAGAAGACGAGTTTATGCATTTCTTTTGGTCTGCTTAGGAGCTTTCTGCATGTCTATTGTCGGTGCCTGGGCCTAAGCTATGCCAGATGTGGCTGGTCTGTCATCTCCAAGATCTTACTGCAAGGCTAAGGGCCAAATCGAGAGACCTGGACTACAGACTGATATTAAAGAAGTGGTAGTCGTCGACCGTTGAAATAATATTGTACTCTGCCCTCGATATACAATTAATATAGAGAGTAGTTTTCAAATATATATTCTCGAGAATTATAAGATGTAGGAGTAGGCACAAAGTTTTAGACTTCAATTTCTGGAAAAGTGTTGATTGACGACAATGATGGAGGTTGGATTTTTTCTACTTAGTCATCTCTCTCATAATCTTCTTCTGCCTAATTTGGGTTGATGTACGGACCACCCAGATGCCGGAAAGACAAAGGTGGACAACATTTTGTGACAAAAGAGGGGATGTTTGACTGAATTCGATAGGTATGACTTTTTGCTCGCAGGAAAACTTTTCGTGAAACTTAATTAATATAGGTATATGATCAAACGAGGGGCCAAGAGTCACCGGGTAACTACAACCAAGCTCTCCTTGCGGAGCTGTTCTATGTGTAATCATTGTAATGGGCTGAAACTGCTCGAGAACATATCGTTGTGATCTCGAAGATCGTGGCTCAGTTCGTCAATGACGCGCTGATATACGCTATCAAAGATGAGAAGGTTCGTGAAAACATTGGTTGCCTAGTTAGTACAGTTTTGGAGGCAAATGTCGAAGCAGCGGAACACGAACTCGAAGATTCTCCAATTAAAAACGTATAATCATCATTACATAAATTATCGGTTTATTTCGTTTCCATAGATACTGTTCTATTTTTGATTTGGCTAGTTTCGAAACATAGCTTGATATCTGATTGAGTAGAATATTGAATATTCATGTGTTGGATCCCACACGCCAGTGCCTCTCATCGCTCATTCACTCCACTCCCTTAGGCACTTTTCATTATCAGCATCCTACTATGCGGATTGGATACACGAAGGTGCCAGATATGACGGTTCAGGACAAAGAGCGTGCTGTTTCTTATGACAAGCCCTTCTATCTTCCCTCTATTACTCCGCCCATGCAATGCAGATTTGCGCTCTGTATTAATGAAAACAAGTACATATGGTCCAATTTAGATTGGGAACAATAAACTGAATTGGAATATAGATACCCTCTTCTCGGGTCAGTGACCCTCCTGCAGCTGCTCCTCACCAAGCCACTACGGCTCCGTGGTAATTACTTGCCCAGGAACACCAGATTAGCCACATTTATGATTGACATGAAGAGCCAAATCAAGACAGCGAGGATCGTTGTATACCACGAGTTGATCATTGTGATACCTTCGGGTTCGAGCTTCGCCTCCCTCCCCAATTACCTGGTCCACGTCGCTCTCGTGACCAAGCAAACTGCGACCAATCCCCCCTCGGTGGCCCCTTCAGTGCAAGCGATCACCAGAATCATACAATGTATGTTGACACCAAGGTCAGTGTGAGACCCCTAGGCGTAGGTACCTAAGGGAATACGGGGGTGTAATGTTAGATCGGGAAATAGAGATGGAAGTATAAGCAATAGTATAGTGGAACTAATAGTTGCTTCTCCAGAGACGCAGCATGCGGGGATAATACCCAGGTTTGTGGATTACATGATCCAAGAGGATCGAGCAGTCGTCACACTCTGCTCCGGTCCAGTCTACAGTCCCCAATAGGCTGCGGCACTATCCAAATTATCGGCAGATAATCGATTATCGTATCCGTAAATTGCGGATAACGATATAAATTC